TATGGGGTGTCTGAGTGACTCAGTTGGTTAAGTGTCCGACTTCCACTCAGGTCATGATCTCCCGGTTTGTGAGTTCCAGACCTGCCTAAGGCTCAGTGATGAGAGCTTGGAGCCTGTTTCGGATTCTGTTTCCCTCTCAGCCCCTCCCCCACTCACACTCTGTCTCTTTCTCTCTCTCTCTCTAAAAAATAACCATTAAGAAAAAAATTTACACTTGCATGTTTTATTTTATTTTTTTAATGTTTATTCATTGTTGAAGAGAGAGACAGAGAGTGGGAGCAGGGGAGGGGCAGAGAGAGAGGGAGACACAGATCTGAAGCAGGCACCAGGCTCTATCAGCACAGAGCCTGATGCAGGGCCTGAACCCACAAACCACGAGATCATGACCTGAGCATCTGAAGTCAGACACTCAACTGACTGAGCCACCCAGGTGCCCCTAAACTTGCATGTTTTAAAGGATATCACTAAGAAAGCAAAAAGACAATTTATATAATGGGAGAAAATATTTGCAAATCCTATATCAGATAAGAAACTTGTATTTAAAATATATAAATAAATAATATTTACACGTTGATTTAAATATTTAACCCAATTTACAAATGGACAAAGAGGGGCTCCTGGGTGGCTCAGTCGATTAAGTGTCCAACTTTGGCTCAGGTAATGATCTCACTGTTCCTGGGTTCAAGCCCTGCATCAGGCTCTGTGCTGACAGCTCACAGCCTGGAGCCTGCTTCAGATTCTGTGTCTCCCTCTCTCTCTGCCCCTCACCTGTTCGTGGTCTGTCTCTCTCTCTCTCAAAAATAAATAAACATTGCACTGGGTGTTGTATGGAAACCAATTTGACAATAAACTTCATATATTTAAAAAAAATAAAATAAAATTTGTAATAGCTGGAAAAAAAAAGATAAATAAATAAATAAATAAATAAATAAATAAATAAATAAATTGGGGTCCAATTAATTACATTTGTCCTTCATGGGAATGCTGGACAAATACGTTGAATATAGTTGAACTGTATGAAGGTAATTTATATCTCTTGAACATGTTAGATATTAAATGAAAAAGAATGTCCAAAGTGTTTCTGGTATTCTCACCATTCAGTTAAATTAATTTTCAATAGGGTTCCAATTCTTGTTCCATTTGAGATCTTGCCAAGGAAATAAATAATATCATCACCAAAAAATCAATCAATCAATCAATCAATCAATCAATAAACATTAAAAAACATTTTAAAAATAATAAAAATGGACAAAGAATTTTTTGAGATATACAAAGATTGTTTTATTTTTATTTCCCACATTAACATAGAAAATACTTTCATAGAAACAAAGAGGGGAGAATTTTTTCTATAGCCTCAATACATTTATCACTGATGCTACTTTGTGTTTCTAACACCATTATCCTTTTACATCCACGAGTACATTCTTTAGGTTCATGGTCTTTCTGAAACCTCAGCATCTAACCAAATCTACTTGGATTTTAATTAACATATTAATTTCATTCTCATTTTTATTTTAATATGATACCAAATGGCAAATATATCAAATGATCCAAATGTGCCCAATGATGTGCTTCTCTTGCCCATAGTTACAGTGTTTGGGAAGATTACCCAGCCCATTTCTCTCCCTCAGATATATAACATGTATCACCTTAAAATGATAATTATCTAGATTATCTAGTCCATGTTTTCATAGAAACAAAGTGGGGAGAATTCTAGAACAGTCTCCTTGTGTCACACCCACATGCATTTTATATTTATTTAGTTAGTTTATTTATGTGTTTTTGAGAGAGAGACAGAGAGAGTGGGTGGGGGAAGGGCCTACAGGGAGGGGGAGAGAGAGAGAGAGAGAGCATGAGAGTGAGAGAGGGAGAATCCAAGCAGGCTCCACACGGTCAGCACGGAGTCTGACGCAGAGACCCATGACCTGAGCCGAAACCAAGCATTGGACACTTAACCAACTGAGCCACCTAGGTGCCCTAATACATTTTATTTTTAAGACACTGACTTCTTGATGATTCTGGACAAATTATTCTACACAATGTCCTACCTTCTGGGTTTGTCTGATTGTTTTCTCATGGTGTTGTTAAACTTGTTCTTCTGTCCTCTGTATTTTTTGGTAAGCTCAAAGTTGGTCTAAAGGCTTGATAAGAATCAGGTTCAATATTTTGGTAAGAATTCTTCATAAGTAATGCTGTGTACTTCCTACTACCTCATATTAACCTGTACGTAATATCTGGTTGTCCCACTATTGCTAAACCTGATATTGATCACTAGGTTAAAGTGATGATACCTTATTTAAAAATGTGTTTTTAAAAATGGGGACTTGACCACTTACACTGTTTTAAAATGATTATCCCTACTTTGAAGTTTCAGATAAAGGGGCTCTGAGTTGTTGCCTAGCACCTAGGAGACAACCTTTATCCTGTATAAAGGATAAGAGGATTAAGACTGAGGCTTTATCCTCTTTATGGAGTAGACACAGAAGTTCAAGTTTATCTCTGAGGGTGGCCAATCAGAGCAGAAATTTCTGGAATATGAAGTCTAACAGAGACTCTGTTTTCTCTGGGTCTAGAAGAAGTTACTCTGAAATTGCTCATTAGCCAGAATTTAACCATCGGCAAATAGATCTTTTGACTAACACTTACTAAAAAGAGTCTAAACACTGGGAATTCAGATACAGAAGAATCTTTTTTTCCCCTAAGGGAATCTTTTATGGCACTTTATTTATTTTTTTATAAAAATTTTTTAATGTTTATTTATTCTTGAGAGAGAGAGAAAGACAGACAGTGAGCAGGGGAAGGGCAGAGAGAGAGAGGAGACACAGAATCTGAAGCAGGCTCTAGGCTCTGAGCTGTCAGCACAGAGCCTGACCTGGGGCTCGAAGCCATGAACTGTGAGATCATGACCTGAGCTGAAGTTGGACACTTAACTGACTGAGCAACCTAGGCCCTTTTATGGCACTTTAAAATAACTCATCCTCCACCTGCCACTCCTCTCCACCCCTCCAAAACCACTTTAGACTCTAGAATAAAAAAGTAAGGATGAGGAGCACCTGGGTGGTTCAGTCGGTTAAGTGTCTGACTTCGGCTGAGGTCATGATTTCGCTGGGTTTGTGAGTTTGAGCCCCGTGTCGGGCTCTGTGCTAACAGCTCAGAGCCTGGAGCCTCCTTGAGATTCTGTGTCTCCTCCTCTCTCTGCCCCTCCCATGTTCATGCTCTGTCTCTGTCTCTCAATAATAAATAAACATTAAAAAAAATTTTTTTTAATTAAGGATGAGCATTTTCTTTGGGTGCAGAACAGACAGATCTTTAGATATTTCCCTTTTTTTCAATTTTTTAATGTTTATTTTATTTTTGAGAGGGAGAGAGAAACAGAGTACGAGCAGGGGAGGGGCAGAGAGAGGGGGAGACACAGAATCCGAGCAGGCTCCAGGCTCTGAGCTGTCTGCATAGAGCCCAACACGGGGCTCGTGCTTGAATCCACAAACCATGAGACCATGACCTGAGCCAAAGTCAGATGCTTAACAGACTGAGCTACCCAGGTGCCGCTTGATGTTTCTTGAGTACTGTTTAGAGTAAGGAAAAAGTATGCATCTGTTCTCTTTGATGTTTGTCTCTTGTCTTTAGCTACTATAAACTAAATAACTGGTTTATAAATATATATTTATATACATCATGAAGTTCATTGCCATCCTTATTCTTCTTTGTGAATAGAATTTAGTGTACCCTGACTAGAAATGCAATGAGAAGGGAAGAAAATATAAGCAATGAGGTTAAGGGATTTCATTATTAAAAAAAAAATTTTTTTCAACGTTTATTTATTTTTGGGACAGAGAGAGACAGAGCATGAACGGGGGAGGGGCAGAGAGAGAGGGAGACACAGAATCGGAAACAGGCTCCAGGCTCTGAGCCATCAGCCCAGAGCCTGACGTGGGGCTCAAACTCATGGACCGCGAGATCGTGACCTGGCTGAAGTCGGACGCTTAACCGACTGCGCCACCCAGGCACCCCGGGATTTCATTATTAAAACTAAGAATTTGAGAGGTGCCTGGGTGGCTCAGTCTGTTAAGTGTCCTGCTTTGGCTCAGTCATGATCTTATGGCTAGTGAGTTCGAGCCCGGTGTAGGGTTCTTTGCTGACAGCTCAGAACTTGGAGCCTGCGTTGGATTCTGTGTCTCTGTCTCTCTCTACCCTCCCCTGCTTGTGTTCTTTCTCTCTCACAAATAAATAAACATTAAAAAAAAATTTTTTTTTTAACTAGAATTTGGTTTCTAAGGGAAATTAGTTCTTTTTAATCCTAAAATCAACACTTTTATTTTACGGCAAGTAAATATTCACATCAGTTAAACTCTGATCAGGGTTGTTGTGCATTTCTGGATACCCAGAGGGAGTTATTTGGTTGTTATTGCTTGGTTTTGTGTGTGTGTGTGTTTGTTGTTATTTTGTTTTTCAGCCAGCACAAAGATTAAGTTGTTGTGAACTTTCTGCGTCACAGGACAGAATTTAACCTTAGGGTATGGGACTACCAGTTTTCCTCTTACAATGGAAATTGACAATATCCTTTTTCTCCATTTATTCTGTATTTTTTTTAAGATTCTGGCTTCAAAGTTACTAGTTGGGTGAGGGAGGTGGCAAAGGTCCCTTTGAGGAGATAGTTTAATAGCAGCACTCCCAGTGAACCTAGCAACACATGCCTATAGTTTCCATTGGGGATTACTACACTTGCTAATGAAGATCACACAAGCAGTTTACAAGACCAAATAGTGGAAAGAGTCACCCATCCTTTTCTTTTCTCTTCTTTTTTTCCTCTTTATATATAACCCCTTCTTTCCTTCTTTTCTAGTCCTTCCTTCTTCTTCTTCTGCCTCTCTCCTTGTCCCTGTCCCTTCTCACTCATTTTTTTTTTCTTCACTTATTTTGCCACTCATTATCCTAGGCTGGTATGCTTTGATGACTCCCCCTATTCCCACCAATTTCTGTGTTCCTGAAGGATTTCCTACCTTACATCAACCTGTGGTACAGCACTGTGTCACTGAATACTTGATAGAATCGAAGGAATAGGAGAATCCTAGGGAGGGAGAATCCCAGAGAAGGAGGTCCATGCCTTGATCTGTGTTCTGAACTCCCTCCGTCCAACTTCCATTTGTTTCAAACTGCAAATTCCAGTTTCCAGTCTGGCTTCTCTAGGATCTCACAGTTCTATAAGGATAGTAATGGAATTACTTGAGTCATGTCCAGTACTTCAAAAAAAAGCCCCAAAGACATTGCATACTTATTCACAATAAAGCTTGAACAGGTTGACTAAATAATGGAAAGCTTTTTCCTTTCTTTGGGGGGGAGGGGTGCTGGAAGATGAGGAGATTATGCCATACTAAATCATTGTAAAGAATGTATCATCATATTGAGAAGTTCTGGTTGGCTGCATGAGCTGTCTATAGAGAGCAGACAGTGTATACTAAAAAGAATGTGGGTGTGGAGATGAGGTCGGGATTTATTTTCTAGCAATAAGATTTGGGCTATGTACTTAACATCTCTGAACCTCAGTTTACTTGCCTGTAAAATAGAAGTAGTAATTTACAGTTTTCAGACTACTTGAGGACTTTCAATAATGGGTATAAAGCACTCATTAATACAATACATGGCACTCAGTAAATATTTAATAGGTTTTCTTTATAAATGTGATTTATTTGGTAGATAAAAATCTCACAAAGCATATAGCTCTTAGGGGGAAAAATGATTCTGATCACTGAGAAAAGAGATTGGGAAGCACTCATATAACATAGCTCTACATGCTCACACCCATATCCCCTTAAGAACTCATGTCAAGTCCTGAGGGCTCTGACTAAGGGATGTACAAGAAGATACGGCACATTCTCTGAGCTGATGAATGCATCCTCAGAGGGAGATACTCAGCTGCCTAACTATACCTTAGCAACACTTCCTTAAGCTCACCTGCTCCTTGCTGGATTCCTGTGTGATTTTTTAAGTCTTTTTTTTAAGTTTATTTATTTATTTTAAGAGAGAGAGAAGAGAGAGAGGCAGAGAGAGAGGGAGAGAGAGAATCCCAAGCAGGGTCAGAGGCTGTCACTGCAGAGCTCAAAGCCAGGCTTGATCCTATGAACCGTGAGATCATGACCCACCCCGAAATCAAGAGCTGTATGCTTAACTGACTGAGCCACCCAGGCACCCCTCCTATGCTATTTTGACATAACTCTGGTGATGAGCTTCAAGAAGCACCAGGTCTGCTCCTGGCTGTCTGACTGTTTATGGAGACATGGGGTTTTGGGGGGAAGGAAACAGGAATGCAGTGTCTTGGGAAAGGGAACAAAAGATGAAGTTTGTGGAAGAGATGAGGCAAGTCTGAGGATCATCAAAGCTTAATTTGCACTCCTTGAAAATGGGGCAATAGACTTTATTTCCTGAAAAGTACTGTCCCAAGTCAGCTTCTCCCATCTCAGCCCCATAGGGACTCCTCTAAACAATGAAACTTTCCTCCTAAATCTCTTAGCTCTTCCTCCCAATGGGCCTTGGCTATTTCCCAGTTCATCCCTTTCTGTAGGCACCCCCAAGATAGGGAGATCAGTTGTCCCTCCCCTGCTTTCCATAAATAAGCTTGAGTTCCCAACTAATAGCCAGAAGTTATCAGCGATTTCCAGAGCCCTTGTCCCAGGCCCCTGCTAAATTTCATTTGGTAGAGCATCTTTACAGAGACGCCCTGTAGGACCCATCTTTTAAGCTCGGAGTTTCTGTGGAGCAGGCCAAATGAATGTGGAATATTCTGTCTTAAGCTGAATTAATACCTTGTTATTTTAAAGACTGTAACAACTTGTTTTCTAAATGTTTTCAATCAGCACATCTTTATTTATTGTCCTTAACACCCAGAGGCCATTTGAAAAAGGATTTAGCTTTCAAAGTCTGATAAGTAAACAAAAGTTTCCCAAAAACATCTTCAGGCAGCCACCCAGAGACCTCATTTTTGCCACAGTGTTTGGCTCCCTGATAATTGCCCATTAGTACTGTGCTCAATCAAACCTTGTGTAATCATTTAAAAAATATACCTCCTAAAACAAAGTTACTTACCAACTTATTTTTCTTAATCACTGTGTGTAGCAAAACACAAAAGCAGAAGCAAGGTAGGTTTAAAGGTGGTATTGTCTGACTAGATCCTAAGCATTTTAAATTGAATAAGTTGTGTTTGGGATTCATATGAACTGGTTTGGAGATGGTTATTCACTGTTCTTCCAAAAGTGAATAGTGTCCAGAGGGGACTGGTTAGATAAGCAGAGGCTACCATGCATGGCTTCAGCTCTGTGAATTTCTAAGGCTTTAAAATTAACCCCAGAATCCCCTTAAATGCAATATTCCCTTATGGTGGGCTTGGTCTCTGATACCTTCTTTTATCTCAATCCTCTGACACTCCAGAAATGTACCCTGGTCTCTCTTACTACTTGCAACCAAGAGAAAAGTTGGGAAATAGGGTTGACTATTTCATAGACTATTACAACAAGTTACTTCAAAATCTCAATGTTTGACCTAATTAAAATGTACTGTTCTTATCACATACAGTTCAATGTGAATTGGTAGGGGTCGAGGTGTGTGGAATGTGCTGGTCAGTCTTCTATGAAGTAAATCAAGGATATAGGCTTCTTCCAGCTTGTGGCTCTATCTTCCTTAAGTTCTCAGAATTCTTTCCATTCAGCCAATGGGAAAGAATCTGCCATCACTGCCCAGGAGGCTTTTTATGGGGAAGCCCTGGAAATGGCACCCATTACTTCCATGCATTTTCTTTTGGCCAAAATCTACTCACAGTGCTCTGCCCAACTCCAAGAGAGGCTAGGTAGTCTAGCTGTGTCTCCAGCCCATAGCAGTTTCTCCCACAAGGAGAGACAGACAGCTCCCTTATGCAGGTTGATTGCTCTGTTCTTGTATATCATCAAAGGTATGCAAAATAAATGTGCTGCCTTATTTTCAGGTCACTTCATGCCTACACCTACCATTAACATCTTGGTCAGTTTTTGGAAAAAGCCCATCTGTCAATATCAGCGTCAACCTCATCACCACCGCAAATCAGTCCACACTGTGAACTCACCTGTTTATATTTAGGATTTTCCAAAGTTTCAAGATACCTGGATTAAGCCTGTGCAGAGGCTCTGATTTGGAAGTTGCCCATGTACTTGTACCTTGCTCTTCTGGTTAGATGGTTACCATGACAAAGTCTGGCAGGTAATCACCAGAAGCCATATATAATATCTAACCAAGCTTTGTCACAAGGCACCTATGAGAAGAAAATAAATGTTTTATAAACATTTAAAGAACTATCTCTATACTGTGTCAAAAGTTATAAAAAACGTGTTGTCTTTTCTCAATCAATATACTCTTCAGCTGTCAGAACTCTGTAACTGTCTGCACTCTTGCTTCCTCCTTCTCTCATTTATCAATTAACAAAGGCTATTTCATAGTGCAACCATTTTGGAGACATCTGTTTGTCCTCATTTACTCATAGGCTACTATTCCCATTGAGATTTTAGCTTCTTCCAATGATGTTTGTTCATCTTATGTAAAGAGAATGATAACATGGACTGGACAAGGTAATGAAGGTAGGGTCCTCATGTACACCCTGCTCTGTTTTTCTTTTCCTTTTTTTTTTTTTAATGTTTATTTTTGAGAGAGAGACAGAGTGTGAGTGGGGTGGGGGGGTGGGCAGAGAGAGAGGGAGACACAGAATCCCAAGCGGGTTCCAGGCTCTGAGCTGTCAGCATGATGTGGGACTCGAACTCATGAACCATGATACCATGACCTGGGCTGAAGCCAGACACTTAACTGACTGAACCACCCAGGCACCCCTCTGCTGGTTTTCTAATTGTGGTGGTAAGTTTCCACACTTTGCTTTTATAATCCAAGCCATGCACTTATTATATGGCTCATGGGATTAAGGGTTCTGTCTTCAATCATGTATTTATTCATTTCTTTAGCCATTCATTTATTCTAAAATATTTATTGAGTACCTACTATGTTCCAGAGAATGTGCTATGTACTGGAGTCAGAGCAAAGAACAAACATATAAGATCCCTACCCTCATGGAACTTATGTGAGCAACAGACTCTATGTATGTATGTATGTATGTATGTATGTATGTACATACGTATTTTAAGTAAGCTCTGCACCCAATGTAGGGCTCGAACTCACTGCCCAGAGATCAGAAGTTGAACACTGCACTGCCTGAGCCAGCCAGGAGCCCTTAAAATTTTTATTATTTGTTTATTTACTTACTTACTTACTTATTTACTTATTTCAATTAAGCTCTGCAACAGATTCTAAATAAACAATAGTGCAGGGGCACCTGGGTGGCTCAGTCAGTTAAGCGTCCAACTTCGGCTCAGGTCATGATCTCACAGTTCATGAGTTTAAGCCCCGTGTCAGGCTCTGTGTTTACAGCTTAGGGCCTGGAGCCTGCTTCAGATTCTGTCTCCCTCTCTCTCTGCCCCTCCCCCACTCATGCTCGCTTTTTCTGTCTCAAGAAAAACATTATAAATAAATAAATAATAGTGTAAATTATTAATGTAATTAAAGTATTTGTATGGGAGGTTTATTTTCTTTTTAGTGTTTGGATAACCCTGAATCACCAAATAGTTGTTTTATTTTGTTTTGGTTTTAACTGAGGTCTTTGTTCCTCTATAAAAACCAGCTGCTTAGGGTGCCTAGCTGGCTCAGTAGGTAGAGCATGCGATTCTTAATCTCAGGGTCGTGAGTTCAAGCCCCACATAGGGCATAGAGGCTACTTTAAAAAAAAAAAAAAAGACCAATTGTTTTTCTTTAGGGTAATCATTCATTCATTCACTGATAATATTCATTAATTCATTAAATATCATTGTAAAAGTACTATTTATCAGGCACTATGCTAAGATTTCTAAATATAAAAATGAAAAGACAAGATTCCTGTCCTCAAGGGTCACAATCCAGTTGAGTAGACTGACATGCAAACCACACAGTACAGTATGATAACTGTCATAATGGAGAAATGTGAAAAGTGCAGTGGGGCATAGGGAGGACCTACATCTGCCTACATAAGTTAAGGAAGACTTCACAAAAGAAGTAGCAGTTGGACTGAAGTTTGAAGGGTGAATAAGCCTTTGCTACGTAGACAAGTCAAGGAAGGGCATGACATGGCTGGTTGATCATCAAAGACTTGTGCTTTTCTTCACAGTATGATGTTCTTCCGGGAAGTGGCCCAACCAATTGCCAATCCCCTAGACATCTACGTGGGGCCAGGTGGCCAGTTCTCATTAATGGGATGTGAGCAGAAGTGATGCGTATCACTTCTGGATTAGGTTAAGAAATAAAGTGTGCCTTTTCTTCCTCTTCTTCCTCAGTTGTTAGCTCTGGGAGTAAAGGACTCTGAAGCTTAGAGGATGGCAGAGTTGCAAAGTTGAAGGGCCCTGGGTGGAAGGCTGCTTGCCACACCGAACTGTTACATGACAAAGAAATAATCTTCTATTGTGTTAATCTACTGGTATTATATAGCTTGTTGTTATAATAGCAAGCTCTACCTTAATTAATACAATGCAGTCCAAGCACACAGGAACAGTATGTACAAAGGCTTACCAAGGTGAGTGTCTCGCAGAGTACATGCTCAATACATATCCGATATTGCAGTAAGAGTATTATGGGGGAGCATAAATAGCCCAGTGATGCCACAGTGTAAAATAAGTGATTGGTGGGAGTAAGGGGAGGGTGGCTGGATAGATAGGCATGGGCTGATCAGAAAAGGCCTTGAATGCCATGCTGAAAAATTTAGATTTATTCTTGTGGAAGAAGGGAAGCCAAAGAAGAATACTGAAAAGGCGAGAGGTATGATTGCTGGAATAACAGAATCTTTGAGAAACACAACATCCAAGAATCTGCTTTAATTTTCTTTAAATGTAAGATGCTAATCCAAAGATGAAAGATAGGCTTTCAGAACCAGAAGACATCATAGTCTAGTCAAACCTCATTTAATAAGTGAGGAAAGTGAGGCCCAGAGAAGTTAAGTACCTTTGCCAAGGTCACCTCGCTAAAACTCGGCAGAGTTGGGACTAGAAGGCTCGTCTCTTGTTGCCATCTCAATAGCAGGGCTCTTTCCACTGTACCACAGTGCTTCAAAGCAGTTGAGACCAGCTGGTGTGCCTGTGTTTTCAGTTCCCTAATGAAGACATTGGGGATTTGGAGGCAGGGTATTTTCCATGGAAGGCTGTCTTCTCTGTAATTCCTCATCTGGCTTGAACCACTATTTTGGAAAAGGTCCATTTTTCAGCATCAGATTTCCCTGGAGGGTGAGTGAGAATGTGCTTAGTGGCCTGTTGGGTGCCCTTGTACTTTCTGAGCTTTTGTTGGAAAGATGAGAAGAAACTAGTACTGGGGTTTTCGCTCCTGGAAATGCTGCTTAGTTCCTTGGCATGTGGGGAATTGTTGGCCCTCTCAGTGACTGTGGTTCAGCCCACCAGCTGACTATCCTTCAGTGTCAGATCAAAACATCTTTAGCTCTTTAAAGGGCCTCTTTAAAGGGTCAGCCCCTATGGCTGGCATTTAAATATCACTTTCTGTTTATCAGTTCACTACCTCTGTTTTCATATACTATGAAGAGATTCATTATTCATTATAATGAAGGTAAGGCAATGTGACATACATTTGTCTTTTAATAGCAAGTACAGGCATAGGGACAACAGTGCTGAGGCCAGTCTCAGAGGAGCATAATGTGTGGTCTGACTTAAGAAGGACCAGGGATCAGGGCACGTGGGTGGCTCAGTTGGCTAAGTGTCTGACTTCAGCTCAGGTCATTATCTCACGGTTTGTGAGTTCAAGCAAACAGCACAGAGCCTGTTTGGGATTCTTGGTCTCCCTCTCTTTCTGCCCCTCCCCACCTCAAAATAAATACATAAACTTAAAGAAATTCTTTAAAAAGAAGAAACAGCAACAGCAGCACCACCACCACCACCAGTTATAATTGAATTATTTTACACCTGGGAAGCCAGAGCATTATTTGCAGCACAAGTCCAAAAGTCTCCAAGAAATTTTGGGAAAAATAAAATTTCTTGATATTTTTCCATCTAGAATTTTATGACCGCCTTCTTCCTTGTTCTTTGACTGTATCACCTTTGCCTCCCTGAATGTTGCTTAATTGCTAGCTCAGTTGGTTAGGATGAAGTATTAATGAAGACGAGATTGCTGCCTCAGTCCCTGAGGAGCTTCTTGGTAGCACCCAAAGACAATGTCTTATGCAGTGGAAAGTGCTTGGGCTTTGAAGTCAGAGTCCCACTAGCTGTAAGACCTTGGGCAAGTTTCTTAACCTTTCTGAGCCTCAGTTTCCTCTTATGTGAAAAGGGCAAATAATGTCAACTATGGGGGTGGTTGTGGGAACCAAATAAACTAACATAGGTAAGACTCCTCTCTTTATGCTGAGCACCTAGTTGGCTTTTAACAAGTATTACTTCCTTTTCAGGTCTCTGAGAAGTTCCCATTAATAGCATTCTTTTCCCCAATCCCCATCCTGGGTTCTGGTCAAGATGAGAAATGAGACAAGAGTGAGCAGATGGAGACCAAAATACCATCTTGATTGCTGATAAATGCTGTTTATTGTGAGAAATAGTGGGATATTAAATACTAAGTGAGTTGCAGGGGGCACCTGGGTGGCTCAGTCGGTTGGGCGTCCAACTTTGGCTCAGGTCATGATCTCGTGGTTTGTGGGTTGTCGGGCTCTGTGCTGACAGCTCAGAGCCTGGGGACTGTTTTGGATTCTGTGACTCCTTCTCTCTTTGCCCCTCCCCTGCTCACACTCTGTCTCTCTCTCAAAAATAAACATTAAAAAATATTAAATGAATAAATAAGCACTAAATGAATTGTAGAATTAGGTAGACTTTTCACCTAGTTGCAAGTAACAATTGACCAGGACAGGCCTTCTCATGCTGAGGGTGGAGATGAGTGTAGGAACGGGAAAGGACCCTGCTCAGAGGAGCAGAGCAAGGTGACATCCTCACTGTGGGCAGGCAGATACCTAAGAGGAAGAAAAGAGCAGCTAAACTGAGCATGCCCTGTGTACCTCACCAGATTAAGCCCTAGAGGAGGGACAAGGAGTAGACAGAGGCCAGAAGCATCAGACCTCCACAGAGCAGGAAACCTTAGAAGCATTCCCCCCTCAAAAGTTTCCTTCTTCTGGTCCCCCTCCTCTCATTTTGTACCTATTACTTTTCAGTCACTCTGCTCATGAAGGACATAGCTGTCAGCATACAGGGTACACTCAGA